CCTATTGTAAACTGATTTTGAATAAGGCAAATTTGAAATCTTTCAATTGCTAGGCTACAATTAACGTGAAATAATTTTTTGAGGTAATATTCCTTTTATTTAGGCCCTAAAAAGATGTAAAAATAACCAAACAAAAAATTGGTTGCATCTAATCGTCATTTAATCGGAGTTTAACTCTGACTGATTTAAACTAAGATCAACCAATAAAATGGCAGCCAGCTGTTCAATTTAAACTCAGTTTACTTAATCTAACTTTAAACTGGCACTGAAAAACTGGCCATAAAGCTCTTAAAGCTTCTCACAGCAACACTAACGTGTACTGTCCAGCACTCCCAAGAAAACGATTTAGTTTATGGGGAACCACTTCTTTGAGAGCTTAGGTAGCTTAAGGAAAGCTTCATTATAGGGTCTGTTGGTACTGGCAAGAAAATAAAAATGCTTTAAAGGGATAGGCATGCGGTAAACCTATTCTGGGCATCACAATGGGCCTGTGCGACCTCCGAATGAACTTTTATCAGAGCTGCCGGCACAACCTATTCTAAACTTGCCTTCAGATTTTATTCAAAAGATAGCGTTTTCAAAGAAAATTCTTTGTGGGGTTTAAATAAAAAACCACAAAGAAGCAAAGCCAAGGCATTCCTTTTATTTTTATTTATCACTAAGTTTTACTATGTGATATATTTATTATCAGGCTAAACACAGCATTCCCGATACTTCGAGGGTAAATATATAAGCCCGGTGATTGCAGAAAAATATTGTGCTTATCTGATGAATCATACCGTTTCCCATTCAGAAAATTTGTTTAAAGAATTCGCGTTTAAATTATTTTCGTAGCAATTTCAAACCAGCATGCATTGGAGAAAATATGTTACTGGACAATGAGAATGTTACCGCTGTTGGATACGGTCACACCATTTTCGGTAAGTTAGAAAAATATAAATTCGAATACATGAAACTGAAATTCCACGCAAGCTTATACATCGAGAAATGTAAGCGAATATTTTTAATCCTCTTTTTGGTGCCGAAATGCTCCTAGAGTAACCAGGAATATTTATAAAGAATTGTGAAAAAATTTCGCTTACGTGTTTTGGAGGTTAGGGCTCAATGTAAACAGCGGAAATTTCCAAGGAAAAGCCTGTATCCCAATGCTGACAATTTAAACCCTCCTTAAACAAATACGAAACTAATTTAAAAGGCATTTTGAATTGAAGGGAAAAATAAAGTACTATTTTTGAAAATAGTGAACTGTTGGTCACCGTAGGTACAAAATTTGAGTATCTTAAATATATTTTTCTACTTTAAGGTGGCAGATCGTCTGATGAACTTTTGAAAGCCTACCTCGTTGTCGTAGGCAATGAAGTGTGCCAAACACATTACAGAGATACTAATTTATTGCCACTCGGTTTAATGGATATACAGCTATGTGCACAAGATAGGCAATTTGGACGTGACACCTGTCAAGTAAGTTAAAGTGTTTAGGCCATATTAATTTTTTAACGCACGCATTTTCTGCATGTTTTCTTTCACCACAGGGTGATTCCGGTGGCCCATTGATATTAAAAATCAGGCATGTGCCTTATGTGATTGGTGTGACATCGTTTGGACTCGGCTGTGCAACTGAAGCCCCAGGCGTTTATACAAGAGCATCAAAGTATCTCGATTGGATTGAAGCGCGTGTGTGGCCAAAATGAAAACTTAAGCTGCATCTAAATGAGATTTACATATTTCACCTCACAAATATTATACCTGTTTAAAATTTAAACTACTCTTAAGGATATATGTACCTATTTTATTATAATGATATCAAATGATACATGTACTCGTACATTAGAGTGCATCGCCAAAGAAAAGGTGTGTTTTTCTCATCAGAATTTAGAAATCTAATATACATGTATATAAAAATCTCGTGTCATGGTGTTTGTGATCGCACTTCCCCGAAACATATCGAACGATTTTTTAGGCAATTAGTAATTAGTATGTATTTACCACAATATGGATGTCAGACTACTGAGGTTTAAGAAGGGTTTAATTTTAAATTAATATGAAGAGATTTGCCACCTGTCTGAAATTTGGGATTAAATTAAATTATGTGAAGCTAAGTGAAACTATAAAATATGGGTATCAAACGAAAGTGCTAAGAAATCTTTAGCTCGAGCATTCTTTGAGGTATTTTAAAAGGGTTGCCATCTGTTGCAAAAGTTAAATTGAAATTATTAGCTAAGTTAAATGAATTATATATTAAAAAATTGGTATCAATCTAAATTTATTCGACAAGGATTTATATCTGAACTGTATTTAATAGAGTTTCCACTTGTATAAAAAATTTAATTCAATACACTTACTTCATCAGTTATTTGAAATCACATTACGTGTCACAATGACAGTCGAAAGAGGTTAAAAAGATTTCAGTTTGAAAATACTTTTGAAGAGGGTTGCCAGCTGTTTCAAAAGTCGAATTTTTTTTAGCTTATACTCACATTGAAAATATGCTTGATTAGGATTGGCACCTTTTCGAAAAGGAATGTCTATCTAACTACGTACCATGTATACATATATACATTAGCGTGATCCAAAAATGCATGTGAAAATGTAATGTCGGAATATTTTTGCTCTCAACCAATACGATTCTTCTATACCGCAAATATTATAGCCCTATTTTTCTATTTTGAAATCAAAAAATATTTAGAGGTAGCTCAAAGCGCCCAAAGTTTTCCATGTATTTTATATGGGAGAAAAAACAACTTTTCGTAGAAATGGTATAGAATTCTTGAAAATCAAATCTTGGTAGTGCAGTTATGTCTGCGGTGTGGGTTATTGTACCTGTGGTGTATTCTATTTTGTTATGTTGTAGTACGGTCGTTGTTGTGTTGAGCTACTCAGGCGGACTCTCTATTTGAGCAGCAAGGAGCAACGTATGACAGGTGTTACACCTGACTGAGGTGGAGTTAGGGTTTTGACACCTCAGGCACACGTGGCAAGTATAGGCTACTTGTGTGTAAGCATGGCCCCTTTGTCTTCCTCTCTGGGTTCTTTTAAATACTGGTGTTGTTTTTAATCGCAAAGTATGATGTGAAGGAATAATTTTCGTGCGCTCATTACAATTACGTATTCGTTTTTAAATTGTAATGCACATAGTTAGCACACTGTCTTCAATGTGCATCACAATTTTAAATTCACCGACGATGTTTTAATCAAGTACACCGCCCAACAACCAATCCAATACCTTTAAGGTCGGATTCGGATTTTACGGGAAAAATTCTATAAGAATCGGCTATAATATCAACATGACATTGATGAAATTTCGTTGGCCTGTGTTGTCAATCAATGTGTATTGTGGACGGACGTCACTTAGCCGTGCGCCGCTGGGGATTTAAGCGTTGCTTACAGTAAATCCGAATGCCTCTCATCGTTCTATTTATCAACCAATATACCTTGTTGTGTATTTGTAAAAAATTTAATAATAACTTATGTAATTTATTACAAACTACTCAAATAATAGTGTCTACTGGCTTCATTTCTTCAAATATGGTTGCCAATTCAAAGATTTCTTG